CTCAACAATCATCCTCTTGATTTTTGATCCATGAAGATTCCTGAAAGAAAGCCAGGTAGTGAACTGGTAGTCCACCAGATAGCTCCCAGAAATTCTTTCCCCAAACCATAGTGGCTTGATGTCTCTTTCTTCTATAGAGGCAGTTCCTCTATAAATAATCTGTTAAGAGGAAGCATCTTAGTCTGTTTCGGGAAACCAGTCAAAGAGTCATTTTAATCCCTTCAAGACATACAGATTTATTATGACATAAATGTTCAAGACTGATGCCCTTGAAAGGATATACTGTGATTACATTGTTAGTTTTCAAAGCACTCCCAGATGTCTTCTTGTTCCTCTATTCCAGCGGGATCCTAGAGAAGGTTCCAGATTTATTTAACTATTTGGCTGTTGCTGCCACCAAGCTTGGCCTGAAGGGCTGGGCAGTAGGTGGCAGCAGTTACTTGCTGTGTGTGACCAGACGGGCTTATAATTCTGGATTGTTTTGCTCTCTCCTTTCAACTTTAGGTTATGTCACAACAAGCAGACAAAAGTATACCTACCAGAACCTCCCTTTCCTCATGCAGAGGTAAGTTGGTTTCCCTAAATGTGCAGAGCTTCCATTTCATTAATTTAAAATGAGAAAGGATGGAGAAACCTTCTTTGGATGAATAGGACTATTGGATCCTATTCCTAGGCTGTGACCCGCCCTTCCAACTGCAAAATTATTAATTAGAATGACAGTGCATATATAAGCTTGTTTAGTTTTAATTTAATTTAAATTAAATTTCATCTGGTAGCCCTGCTAGAAATACTTCCCAGAGGGAAACCACAGAAACAGACCATGATGTGGGTGTGTGGGGTCTCTAACAATGCTTTGAGCTCTAAGCACATAGCACTTATAAGCAGTATCCTGAATGACAGGAAGCGAGCTTCTTCCTATAATCTTCTCGGTTGTCCTTACCACTCTCTGTATGGACTTTCTGTCTGAGGCACTGCAGCCACCAAACCAATGCAGTTGCCTTTTTTAGTAGATGTCTCTTGTACCCTGTCTCTTGTGCCCAAACCCATAAATACCAGGGCTTCATAATTTATTGTAACAGTTATAGGCTATAATGGAAGGCCTTTTAGGCTGTAAGCTATGTGAGGCAAGCTTGGGAGATAGAGGAGGTCCACTACAGCTCCTTCCTTACCAGTTGTGAAAGTGGGAGAAGACTGGCTTGGAACTGCCAACTCAAATAAAAGCAAAATGGCTTACTCTATATGTTTCCTTGTTGTTGTTTTGAAAAGAGTAGCCTCATAGATTTCTGCACTTTACACCTGGGCTTATTGACCTTCCAAACTGCATCCACTTTATATGAAAGAAAAAGCAAGCTGTTGGAGAATGCCCTTGTTTTTAATGCTGCAATTTAAGCTTAGAAAATGTATTTGGTTTTTGTTTGGGGTTTTTGTTTTTCCATCTCCAGCCCCTGGAGATTTTGGTCAATACAGTGTAAAAGGCATCCTTGAAGCCGCTGCTTTTCCTCCCATCAATGGGAAAAAAAGAAGAAACTGAATATGTTTTTAGAAGTCTGCAAGCATTTATTTAATGCATTGTTATCAGTCGTTCTTGTCTTGTCAAGGAAAATGTCCATTAGCAACACCAAGGCAAAACTCTTCACTTTGGGGGCTGGGGCAAGACTTGCTTACAGAGGCCTCTATCTCTGCTCCCTGGAGATGAAATTCCTCCAAAGGAATTCATGTCCCACAATTGCCTGCTGACCCTCCAGGTTCCATTGCTGGAAGGAATGCTCTGAAGAGGAGAACCATGTTTGACTTGGGAGCTGTACTTTCTCCCTCTCTCTCTCTCTCTCTGGGAGCCAGGGAATGTATAGCCCACAATATTGCTACATTACTTTATTTATAAACTAAATCTTGTAAGAACAGACATTACAACCACATGATCTTAGCCAGAAAACTAAGAAGCAAGGACCAAATTCCATTTTTATCCCCTGGGATTCAAAATATTTTATTACCGGTTCTGTGGGTGTGGCTTGGTGGGTGTGGTGTGGCTTGGCTTGGTGGGCATGGCAGGGGAAGGGTACTGTAAAACAGGGGTCCCCAACCACCGGTCCCCGGACCGGGACCGGTCCGTGGAACAATTTCTACCGGGCCGCCGGTTTGCTGGGCGCCGCCATCTTGTTTTGATGAAAAAGTGCTTCCGGTGAGCTTTTCCGGGTAGAAAGCGGCATTTGGGTGCTGAAAGAATCCTTGCGCCTTAGTTTCATCGAAGGGGGGGGGCGGCTTTGAACAAAACTAAGGCGCGAGGATTCTTTCAGCACGCATGGCAAGGCGAGCCGAGTGACCGTCCCGAAGCCGTCGCGAAGCCCATCAACACAGGTACAAAGGAGGAGTTGAAGGTGGCGGGGAGAAGCGGGGATGGCTGGCTGGCCGGTCGCTCGGCTCGCCTTGCCATGCGTGCTGATGCCGGTACCGGGCCGCGGATGATTTTGTGATGCCAGTACCGGGCCGCGGCACAAAAAAGGTTGGGGGCCACTGCTGTAAAATATCCATTCCCTCCCCACTAACCTGATTTCCAGCTCCGTTCTCCTGTGCAGGGCAGCAAAAGAAGAGCCAGCCAATCAGCTGGGACTCGGGAGGCAGAGACTAGATGGGGGCGGGGCCAGTCAGAGGTGGTATTTGCCGGTTCTCTGAACTACTCATAATTTCTGCTACTGGTTCTCCAGAGCTAGTCAGAACCTGCTGAATACCACCTCTGCTCTGGGGACAGAGGCTGGAGGGTAGAATGGCAGGTTTAACTGTCACTGAAATGTGTCTTCAAAATAATTATTAAAGAAAAAGGCCAATAACCACCTTCTTCCTTCTGAATACCAGCTCATCCAGTCAAACAAGCTGAAGCATTACCCCAGCATCCATGGAGATTTTAGTAATGACTTCAAGCAGCCTTGTGTGGTATTCACTGGTCATCCCTCGCTTCGGTTTGGCGATGTGGTGCATTTCATGGAACTGTGGGGGAAATCCAGTCTCAACACGGTTATATTTACAGGTATGATTTCTAGCATAATTAGTAGCAAAACAGAGCTGTATTTCTAACGTATGGACCTGGGTAAGTAATTCACAGACTTGAATGCATCATCTTTTTACCAAGCCCACAGAGACTTCACTTCCAATAAAAGCCAATATGGTTTTCCACAGACATTTTATCATTATGGAAAGTAAATGGGGCCTTAAAAATAGAGAGCAACAGTTTTAATTGGGCCTGAAAGGGAAATGAGCAGTTAATAAAATTCTTCTGAATTTGATTAAGTTTGAATAATTAATTAAAATGTAGGCATCCTTCTGGTTAAAAGGGACACTTTAGAACCATCTCCAAGGGCAGACCCACAAATCATTGTTTTGTGAGAGCGTGTTCAAGAAAAAGTAGGTTTGCTGGATGAGACCCAAAATAAATCTGTCCAGTACATTAGTCAGTTAAAAGCCCAATGTGGGTTCTCAGAAATTGTTTTTTCTGCTTTACTTAAAACATCTTGTCTGTAGTTATGTCTAGATATGTGGGAACTGTCCCAGACAGCCTGGCCATTTTGGATTTTCCCACAGGACTTTAGTTTTTTGCTATGACTCAGAGAAAAGATGTGCTACTTCAGTTCACGTAACTTAATACTGAAGTTGAAACAGGGCTGCTCAAGTAACTTTGGAAAAATATTTTGGGCTAAAGCCCACAACTTTCTATTTATATGTTGGAAAGCTATGAAGAAATATTGCTGTCCACCATATCCTCATTTTCTTTCAAAGATTGGGAAGTAGTTTGAGGAGTACTTCCCTTTACATTCAGTTTCCTTATTGCAGAATGAACTATTTCAAATCTGACTCTGGTTTAATAGAAAATGTAATTAAATGCAAGATATAGTTTCCTCATTTCCCCCCACCCCCCAACCTCTTGCCTTTGCCTCTTGATTAAATTTCCAGTAGGAAAGAAGTGATCGTTCTTCTAGATGAATTGCCACTGCTGTTCTACACGAGACTAATTGATATAATTTTCTATTGATTATCTGAAAATAACTAGATTAGCCTTCCCCACCATGGTATCTTTCTTATGATGTGTTGGTAATGGAAATTGTGATTCATTATGTCATGTTGAGGGATGTCAACAGATAAGGGAGGGATGACCCGAACTAGGTATCTCTTCCCTTGAAGTCCTTGAATAAGAACACATCTTTATTTATGTTAAATTTGAAGATACAGTAGAAGCCCTATTTTTATAGTGTTATACAGCTCCTTACTTTTTAGACAAGCGCTATGGTGAAAGTAGATCTTATACTGTATATAAATCTGATGGTAATCCAATTTTCAGGCCGAACTATTATGGGACAATCCTATTTGGTTACTCAGCCTCAGGCCCCATAAAATTTGGTAGGAAATGCCTGAGAATCAGTGTATCCAATACATTTCCCCACCTTGTCTCTTCTCATATGGATGATGAGAAATGTAACCCAAAGTATCTGGAAGGCACCATGTTGGAGAAGAATGATGGATCAGATGGCAACTTCAATTATAAAGCTGTTGTAAAAGCCAGATGACATGAAACTTCAATTCTTAATGGGAAGAGTTAGTGGACTGTTAGTGGACTGTTTTGAAAATATTGGGAGGCAGATGTATTGGCTAAAACTTGCCCCTGTTGAATTCTTCTGTCAAAGTGATTTAATTCAAATCAGGAGCCTATGATGAGTGGGTAAGGGCAAGAAGGGAAAAATTAAGTTACTTAAAATAATGTGTTGGAGAGTCAATAGATTCAATAATAAAGAAGTGGCTAGTAAAATCCTTGAGCAAATATGCAGGAATCTCTAAATGTAAATTTCTCCAAAGATCCTGCCATAGCATTATGGGAAAGAAAATTGATACTAGCAGACACATCCATCCAGTCGGTACCAGTGTGGTTTCTTCCCTCTTGTGTCTGTATTCAAATATCAGAATGTGGAGTGTTTAGATCAACAAAGGCTTTGGGTAATAAGCCAGCTCTTTCTCCTTTTCCCTGTCACCGGCCTTCTTTCTTTGTGATGCCTTTCAGTCAAACTTCCTGATTCCTGGTGACCCTCACTGAATTTTCTTAACAACATTTTCAGAAGTGGGTTGCCCTTATCTTCTTCCCATGCTGAATGAGACTGACTGGCCCTAAATCACCCAACTAGCTTAATGCATAAAGTGGAATTAGAACTCTCTGTCTCCTGCTATCTAGCTCAGTGCCTTTAGCTACTGCACAAAATTGATTCTTATACTCCTCTTTAATTGTCTTGCCTTTGTTTATTCTATGCATCCTCTTTGTCTCAGGACTTGAAATCTTGATCATTAAGATGTCCCCAAGCCACGTAGTCCCTGCTTTCTGGTTTAAATCAAAGTCCCTAGTCCTATAGAGGGGTGTGTAGTTTGACAAAGTTTCGGCATAATATTAAACACTAGACTTCTTTCTTTCTTTGTTCCTCTTTCCTCTCCTGTTTACAGAGCCTGATTTCTCTTATCTGGATGCATTGGCCCCCTACCAGCCACTGGCCATGAAGTGCATCTATTGTCCTATAGATACCAGGCTGAATTTTATCCAGGTGTCCAAACTACTCAAAGAAGTACAGGTAATCAAATTTACTTGTCTTAATTTGCTTACTGCAAGTCCAGATTATACTTTACATATACAAGTATGGCTGCCTCCAAAATTTATTCTGCTATATATGATAGAACTGAGGCATCCCGGGGGGGGGGGGGGGTGAAGGGGGAGTGGAGGTGGTGATGGGGAGAATTAAGCATGGAGAAATGATGGAAGCAGTGCCACACCACCAGGACACAAATTCCATCCCTTTGTAAATGTGTTCTTGTGGTAGAGTTTGTGTTGCAATGGTCCAGTGTTGCTTTCATCATTTTAATGAAAACCTCTGCTGTTGCAGATGTGCCTAGAAATATTCTTTATGCCAATTTATTTCTCAGTGAAGAAAATCCAAAACATCATCACTGACTATATTTGAAGTCTTCCAAAGAGGCTAATATCTTTTTAGAAACTGGATTTTTGCCAGACTGCATTATGTGAAGTTTTGTTGAGCGTGCAACTGACATTTGTCCTCGTGTAATACAAACTTGTATTACAAAAGCAGAAAACACTCCAACCTCCAACCTAGGTTGCCCTGACCCCATTTTTCTAGCCCTCTAGGGCTCCTTATGATTAATGTTTGTCAGTGTATTTGTCCAAAATCAACCATGTGGCTGATTGCCATTTTAAGATGAGGAACACATGCAACATGATAAGTTCTAAAATAATTTTAACAGGAGTTGAGAGAAAAAAAAACCAACCATAAAGAAAAGTCTATGTGACTTGTTCTCTTGTTCACTTGTTCTCATCATCGTGTTAGTATAGCCCTCAAGGCCCCCCAGAATTTAGGCAGTCACTGTGAGAGAGCTGCACATTTTAAATATATTCCTTGCAGCTTAGCATCTTACCAGAGTTGTAGTAGTACAATAAAACCTCAGTTCTCCACATCTCAACTGAAAGGGAGCTGCATACAATGGAGAAAATTCAGTTGGAAGTTGCATAATGGCATGATTGGTGTCCATTTATGTTATTTGTATAATGACATCATTATCTAAATGATGTAATTTTGGTGTCATTTGTGTAGTAATGGTATCATACTATAAGTGATATAATTTACAACATATCTACATTTGCATTGCCCAATGACTGTAATATAACTGTAATATGAAGCTTACACGAACTGATCTGAAGGCTTGAGACAAGCTACCATTGCTTTCAGTTTTTCAGTATAATCAACTTTTTCTAGTTTTCCCCAAACAAGGCATTCTCCAGATTCATGGACATTTCCTCCAAGAATTCCCAGTAATAATCCCGTAAGCTGAAAAACTCTGGGATTTGAAATTCACCCATCTGCAAATCTTCCCAGAATAGCTTTTCTGTCAGAAGACTAAGGCCTGGTCTTATGGTCCTGTAATGGTTGAATGTATCTTAAATTTGTAGGCTGGCACTCTCTGGGGATGGGGGCAGGAGGCAAATGTGTTATTATATTTATTATTTTATTTTATTCATTACCAAGTAGAAAGCAGGCTGAGCTGGACATTTTCTCCCTGACATGCTATTTTTTTTTTTTTTTTAGTTTCTGGTAAGTTTTATTATGCAAAGCCTTGGAAATAGCCCCTCCTTTTACATGCAGTGTTACAAACTGTATGTGGAGTCATTGGCAGTTGGATAGCACATACTTTTAATTAATTTATATTGGAAAACCTGTGTGAAAAAAACTTTGAAACCACTGTATAACTTACTGAAAATCTCAAGAGTGCTTTCCTTTTTTTTTCTTAACAGCCTCTCCATGTGGTTTGTCCTGAGCAATATACTCAGCCTCCTCCAACTCAATCCCATCGCACAGATTTAATGGTTGACTGCTTACCTCCACCCATGTCCTACCGTAGAGCAGAGGTGCTAACTCTTCCATTCAAACGCCGCTATGAGAAGATTGAAATCACCCCTGAGGTGAGGAATGAAAGGTGGGCTCTTGAAGGAAGTGGGGGACTGATAAGAGATCTCTTCAGGATTGTTTGGGGAGGGGGATTGAAAGACCTTGGCCTAATGCAGGGGTCCCCAAACTTGGCAACTTTAAGACTTGTGGACTTCAACTCCCAGAATTCTCCAGCCAGCTATGGAGACCTCTGACGTAATAGGTAAAGTGCATGAATACATGAGCACCTAGTTGTTGTTTATTGACATACTAACTGGTGTATGTTGTAGTCTTTCTCTTCTAGCAAACTTTCTAGAACCTTTCCATTCTAGTAAGCAAAACTGGGTTACTTGTATCAGTGCTCTGATTTAGTTTTGTGATAGATTCCACCTTAAGATTACCAGTGTGTTGGCTACATGTACCAATGTTCCTTTGGCTAATTTTCTTGCTGCCCTTGCAATGACCAGTCCCACCTGGATGGTTTGTTTGAAGACTAGCTACATGATCATGGCTAGTCATTCCGTCAATGGCCTAGCTCATTTGTTATGGCAGCTATAACATCCTAGGCACAATGTCAACATTCCAAGCATAGCGATCAGCCAAAAATTAAAATAAAATAAAGGACCTCTCTCTTACAGGATATATACAGAAATATTGAACATATTGTCCAGTTTTAATTGAGGTGAAAGAAAATATCAATATTTTGTTTAATTCCTTACAGCTTTTCTGATTAGGGTTCCTATTAGCTTTGCTATTGAACTCTATTTTGCACAACAAATTGTAGATAAATAAGTTATTCCCTTTCCTAGGTATTGGTTTGAAGTTCTTTTGAAACCTGCTTATGTTCTTTTATTAGTTGATTGCCAGGATTGAAGTCTTGTTTAGAGGTGTGCTATTCCATTCTTCCAGTTACACCCGCTTCCAGGGATCAGAGTTCTGTGTCCTTTTGCATGCCTTAGGACTCTGTGTTTTGGGAGTAGTGGTGGGATTCACAACTGCTGTTTTTCCTATAATATAGTTGTCCTTCGTGGTGTTCCACGTTGATTGTTGCCTCTAATATGAATGAGACAAATTATGCTTGTTTAAGATACACATTTAGATTGCATTTGCTTCACTGCTAAGGTACAGTATAAGATACAATATTCTGGGCTTCTGTTTAAAAGATGCATCCAGTAACACTTGAATTTGATGGGAGTTTATAGATGAGAACTGATACTTCAATATAAATGGAGGACATGTGTATTTTGGAAAAGTTGAAAACACTGTGAAGGGCATATTCTACACTTAAGAAATGACAAGCAGGATAGAGACAGACAAGGGGGCTGGCTTCTATATTTCATTCTGTATGGGCATCTGACTACCCTGTCTGTGATACATAGATTTTTTATTTGGTACAATGTGTGTGTCTGTGTGTGTGTGTGTGTGTTTTTAAAAAGGACCATGTTTTCTAATATTTGTGGGATATATAGCAATAGCACTTAGACTTATACACCGCTTCACAGTATTTTTAGAGCCCTCTCTAAGCAGTTTACAAAGTCAGCATATTGCCTCCCAACAATTTGGGTCCTTATTTTACCAACCTTGGAAGGATGGAAGGCCGAGTCAACCTTGAGCCAGTCAGGATCGAACTCCTGGATATTCAAGTATTGAAAATCTAAGGTTTCTACTCTTATGTCTTTGGGGCTAGCATTATTTCTCAGAAATGCTTCCATTTTCCATCATGGTTAAATCGGTCGGTCTCCTAGGAACTTATATTTTCAGGATATTGGACACTGGGGAGACAAAACAAAGGAGAGCTATTATCCTCCTAACCAATCTCTATCCATGCTGCTGGAAAGAAAGTGCTACTGGACTCAGGAGGCTTTTTTCTGATTCAACAAAGCCCTTCCTGGATTTTGTATCCAGGCCATCGGATTTTCCACGTACATTTCTGTTTAAAATAGGACTGAAACCCTGAGTGTGTGGTCTTTTCTTCAACTAGTGGTTGAGCAGGAATAATGGGAGAGTATGCAGGAAAATTTTCAAGGCTAGTGTGCTGTAGAATTGATACGTTGTTCTGGATTGCAGAGACTTGATTACCACTTATTGGGTTGTGTGTGTGTGTCTGTGTTTTTCAAGGGCAGAATATAAAATGTGTTATAAAATAGTTAGCTTCTCTGTGATCCAAAGCCCAAAGTGTTAGTTTCGGTTCCTCTGGTACCCATTTCTGCCAGTCACAGCCTGTTTTGGTCCCCATCCTTGCATCCCAGGTGCCTGGCATCACCACCTGCCAATTCGCATCCATTTCTTCCCATCAGTTGAGCGCATCAAAGCCTGAAGAGGGAGCCCTTCCTCTATGTAATTTGTTATTCACAGCAGCGGGGCACATTAATACATTGGGGTGTGCATTGGTGATAAGGGGGGTCAAGTCATGCATCCAGCCTTGTTGAAAGCCTCAAATACAACAGGTGCTCCTGAAAGAAAAGGATGCGTTTTCTTCTGAAACACGGAAAACCTTTATTGCCAGCCGAGCATTTTAGAAAGAACCACCTAAGGTGGTAAGAACCTCCCTCTTTAGTGCAGCTCAAAGCATCGCCATTTAGTACAGAATGTAAAACTCAGCACAAAGCCACAAGCCACCCTGGTGTGTACAATTAAGCTGCTTCCTGAACAAATACTGATTTTCCCCCATCCCTCCTGCCGCCCCCTCCAGACACCCCCGTTCAATTGAAGAGGGAGCTCTGATTTGCATGCCAAGAAGCCATTAGCCTGAGCAGCAGCTGGAGTCCAGGAGTGTCTTTTAAGTGGGGAAAGGATTGCTCCAGTTGCAGCTTCTCCATGTGCTCTTAAAGTGGGAATATTTATCAGATTCTGCTAAGCTACAACATCATCGTGATTGGCGGCGGCGGCAGCGTGTCGAATAAAGTTGCCCCACGGATAAGGATTCTGTCAGGTTTCTCTGGATCATGATTCGTGTTCACGCACTTAATTCTCAAATCTTTTGATTTCAATTTGCTTGAAAGATTCTAATGTCTCTGG